TAGAATGCCCATCTCCAGCCTTCTGTTTTGTTTAAAACATTGGTGTTTTGGGTTTTCTCCCCCTTGCAGCTGAATCTACCTCTGAGAGATGCACCACGTTAAGGATTTTGGTCTTGATTCTAAGAGCTCCCATAGCAGCGGAAGCAAAGCAGTGGTTGGTGACAGCCTCGGTGGACGGAGGCATATTAGGATGAATCCACAGGCCCTTGTGAATCACTGGTTGCAGTAGGGAGAGGGAAGAATTGAGAACATCATCCAGGATACTGGAGATTATTGAGGCCATTCACTGAGAAGCTCATTTGGGACAGAAGGTGGGGATTTGGACTTTGAGGTGGAAGTGCAAGGTGTCTCCATTCATGTGGGGGTGAGGAAGTGAGACTGGAACTCACCCTGCTTTCTGCCAGGCTTCTGTACCCGACCAGGAATCTCGACAGCCCAGACTCTTCTGATCACCCCATCCACCCCTGGGGCCACCTGTGTGGTTTGTCTTCCAGGGCCAGCCCTGCTGAATCCCTGAGCAATTCCTTCCCCAAACCTCACAGTGCCCAGAAGTTAAAGCAGAGCAACCGCAACCATGAGGGGTCCTGCTTCAGACGCTCTCAAACGCTGCTCTGGGGCATCCTTAGGTGGAGAAAAATCCTTTCATAATTAGGTACCACTTAATCTGTTTTATACATTAGCCATTATTTTATATTTTCAAAGTGAGGCACACCTATATACACACCAAAGTTTGCAAAGCAATTAAAATAAAATTTTAAGTTTTAGGTTCTAAGTGTGGGGTGTATGTGTGTGTGTGTATATATATATATATTAATATTTAATCCAGTCCATTCACACAGTTTATCTCATTAAAGGAAAATCTTTTTATTGTAAAGAAATTTGAAGCATCCATTCTTTGTAACACTATATTGGTGTGTTACCACAGTTCTTAGTAGACGACAGAAACAGAACCTTAAAATTGTAAAGGGTTCTTTTCCCATTGTTCTGCATTTCTCTTTTGCCCTCTTCCACCCACCTCCCATCCCATGGCATTGCCAGAGGGAGAGGGGGCACCGAGGGGGAGAGAGGCAGAGGGAGAGATCAAGGTGTGGAATATCCATGTTTGTTCGCATGTTTATTCAATGTTATTTTCAGTGAGATTTGTACTAAACTGTGGGAGGTGCTGATGATAGAATACCACAGAATCCTAGTCCTAAAGCCAGGCTGGTAGGAAAGACAGATGAAACATGGGAAAGTGAACATTGGAGTGGGAAGTATAGGAACAGAAGCACAAAGTGGAGAGGTGGGGGAGGAGGGGGCGCTGCAGAGCCAGGCTCCCCTGGGTTTACTGTGTCCCACCCAATAGCCCTGAGCAAGCCCATCCTGCTAGGCCACCAGTGCAGCACACCAGGAGCGGGAGGGCGACCTCTCACGGGCTGTGAAGAGGTGTGATGGGGTATTAGCTAACACATACCCATGGTAGAACACATTTGTCTTTTTTAATTATGAAAAAACAAAAACCTCAAGTGTCAAAGTCCCCAAATCTCAGTGATCTCCTCCTACCCTATTCCCATCGCCGCCCCCCCCCCCCAGGATAACCAGTCACTGTTAACAACCTGGCATGCATTGTTCTGGAAACTTACATAGGTCTCAAGTTCCCCAGCCCACATCCCAGGATCTCTGCACATTCCTAGGGCTTATGTTTGGGCTCTGGCTTTGTTCTCTGATAGGATTCTGTAACCTTAAAGAGTTGCCTCCCTTTCTCTCTCGTGTATGCCCTGCCTTTAGCCTAATCTTGTTCACACTTGGGGCAGTAACTTGGACAAGTACATTACTTGGCAAGTGGTCAAACTTAGATGGCATTCTATTTAGCATCAGACTTAGAATCAGAGGAGTTTGTTCTGGCAGCTAACAGTGTCTCCTTGTGCCAGGTGCTGGCCTAAGTGCTCCGTATGTTTCCATTTATTTGATCCCTCAACAACCTAGTGAGGTAGGTAAGCACGGTTACATAACTTGCCCAAGACTAGTTAGTCAATGGCAGACCCAGGATTTAGCCCATTTAACTCTGGCTTCAGTCTGTGCTCTTAGCCCTTGTACAGTATGGAGTCTAACAGGCTAGAATGAAGACTCTCTCAAGATCAAAAACAGTTAACCACAAATGCCAAGTTCTGCTTGCCCTCCCCTCACCCTCAATGTGCAGCAGAGAATGAGGAAAGAGGACTCGAACAGTAACTTGTATGCAAGACCTAAGAGGTTCAGGATAACTCCAAGTACAATGTCAGAGCACAGTTCCTGGCCTCAGACTCCACAGACGTGGATGAACTTGGCCCAACCACACCCTGCCTCCCTCCCCTGGCAGAAGCAGGTTTAGTGCCTTGGGGGATGTGGAAGGGGTGCAGAGAAGAGAACAAGGCTGGACTGGTCCAAAAGGATTTGCAAAGATTGGGGGATGGATGGGAAACAGAAATTGGAGGTCTTAGCAAGTGGGTCAGTGGAGTCAAGTGGTGTGTCCCATGTGACAGGTGAGAAGTCGGTGGTGTGATATACAGCGTGAAAGATTCCTCCAGGGCACCCAGAAATGGCAGTAGGATAGCTTCTAGAATAAGAGCATAGGAAAGGGTATTCAAATACTATTTCTGTTATTGCAAATCTTTTGTCCCATGTTATGTTTGCCTTAAAAAACCAAAACCAAAACAAGGAATTTACATAAATTACTTTCCACTTGTAGAGCCTCAATTTTTTTTTTTTTTCTTTCCCCACTCTGGCATAGAAGGACCATGAATTTACACCAGGCCATGGTGGCTCCCACCTGTAATCCCAGCTACTCAGAAGGCTGAGCAGAAGGATCTCCTGAGGCCAGGAGGTTGAGACCAACCAGGGCAACATCACAACTCCCTGTCTCTTAAAACAAATTTTAAAAATAAAAAAGGAATATGAATTTACAAAATTTCAGAACTAGCACTTAAAAAGTGTAGAAGTGTTTTGGGGACAGAGGCTGGGAGGAACCTGGATAAGGAAAGGGGAGAATGGGGATCCCAGAAGTGGATGAACATGAGGATGTGGATGGTAGTGTTTTTGCAAGGCTCTTGGAGGTGGTGCCTCAGTATCAGAGATGGCGGGCAAAGCAGAACTTTTTTCTCTCCTTCCTTATCTTGGCCAATCCACCAACTGAGCAGAGGAGCAGAAGATTGCTGCAGAATACAGCTTCCATGTGGGAGGGTAGGAGAGGAGGGACACCCCAGCCCTGGCGAGGCAGCAAGGGAGGCTGCTGTGCTGGCCCATCGAGGCCACAGCCAGGTGGAGGGGGAGCCCTGGGCATGGCCTCTACTCGCACACCAGTTCTGAGGCTTTGGGAATCCATATTTGGTTCATGTATTAATATTGTAATGGCACTTCTCAAATGTCACTTATTTACAGCCCATGTTCTTCGCGAGGAGGTGGTGAGTTCAATTCTAGAAGATGACCAGTGTTTGTTCAGTGTGCCCAGCTCCTGGGAAAGTGCAGACTCAAAAGTTACCTGAGTGACAGAAAATTTCTATAAGAAATTATATTTTAAATCCCAAATGGGTGGTGCCTACAAAGAGACTTTTAGAACACAAACCATTCGTAAGGACCATCTATGCCTTCTTGATAATTAAAAGTATATAATTAAAAATAACTGGAAAGAAACAATTCAGAATAGCCTTTAGAGGTATTTCACATACTCTTGATTAAAATCTCAATTTTTACTAGTGTGAACCTAGAAACATTATTTCTCTGCGCCTTGGTTTCGTCTGTAGAAGAAGGAATATAGAACCTGCCTCACTGGGTTATTGTGAGGAAGAAATTAAAATATTCCTTGTATACAGTAAGTACTCAAATGGAATGAAATAAAGATAATGAGGGCTTCTGTTTCAAACCCTGTCTCTAGCATAGCACTTGATTCTTCCTACTCTAAAATTGGTTTTTATCATCAACATCTCACAATGATGTATTTCATACTGTTTCACTGCTTGGTGGAGACACAGAAATCAGGCCAACAGTCTAAGGAGAGTAGGTCCTGATCATTATTTCCCTGTAACAGATGAGCTTTAGGAAGGGTAAACATCCCACGGATTTACAAATAACGTACGTATTTTTACAAAAGATTTGATCAGGTTTAGGTTTCAATCAGCTGTACAAAAGCAGGCCAATCAGAAGACAGAGGAGGTGCAAACAGCTTTTGGGGATATCATTATAGCAGCCGTAGTAGCTGCCAGTGTGTTTAGGCATGTGTGCCCTGGCACCCCTATTCTTTTGCCAATACTAGGGTAAGGAAGAGCGTGGCCTTTGGTCCTTCGTGGTGGGTCACCTGGTTTCCAAGACTCTGCACTCAGGTCCTCCTCAAGTGTGGACTCTCTGCCCACTCCCAGTCTCCTTCCCAGGCTTCTCTTCTGCCCTGAAAGCAGTGCCTGCAGGGCTCCTTTCTCCTTGGTCCATGGCTCCTCTCTTGTCCCTCCAAGGCCAAATCTTTTCCTCATCCATATCATCCCTGACCCATCTCTCAGACCCCAGTCAAAAACTGAGCTCATCTTCCTCATGGAACTTGCACTGAGGCTCCTACCTGAGCCAGCCAGCTAGCCAGCCAGGCCACCTGGCCCTGCTCCCCCTTCCCTTGCCCGTCTCACACAAGCTCCTCGAGGCATGGGACTTAGTTCTGCTCACTCCTGTGGCACTAGCACTAGAACAGTGCCTGGTGTACTGCAGGTGGTTAGTAAATACTTCTGGGATGCTCAGGTGGGGGACAGTGAGTGCTCTGGAGTTTTCATCACTAAGCACCACACTCATTTCTGCCTCTCATCTTGCCAACTGCCTTTCTGTATTTCTTCCTCTGTGTCAGCAATCGCTCTTCTCCAGGAATATGGCTCATAAAATGAGAAGACATATTACTTTTCACATTTAAGTCTTCAGAAGTAGTAAGGAGCAAAAGCATAACACAGTTTTTCACATTCTCAAATAATTTCTCGTGATTCGATAAACAGAAAAAGGGAACAAACTCAGGATTGGATATAGAATTCAGATTCTTTTTCTTTCAAAGACACATTTTATACAACTTCCAACATTTATACTTTCAAACAAAATGAGCAAAAAATACACCGAGTGCAAAAAAAATCAAAACAGAAGTAATACATTTTTAATTTCAATATTTTAAAATACAGAAATTGGAAAGAATACCAAATACAACTTTAAACAAGTCACTTGTCTTCCCCTATAATAATCAATGTAAGCTACTTAAAGACTTACAAATTTAAAATAAAACAGAAACAAAATAAATACTGTACACTTTCCCTGCCTGCAGGCAAAAGATGGGAAATACTGTTATGAATCGAAAAAAATTGCTCTTCAAGCTTCAGCATCCCACTTCCCAGCCACACCCTGCTCCACTGTCACACGGTGGGCTTCTGTGCTGAAAGAACACACGTGTGCACACACACTGACTGCCTATACAAACAGACGACACTACCCCGCAGACCAAACAAGAAGGAGAAACAGTCACATTGGACTGTGGGCATAAAAGTCAGTAAGGAAAAATCAGTCAGGCTAGCAAAACGTTACTACAAAACTAGTAAATACATAGCCAACAACTGTCCTCTTTTCAAATTTCACAGATTTAAAACCCCTAAAACCAATACTATCCCTCCCCATCAACACCCCCCTCCAAAAAAAAAAAGAAAAAAAAACTTACTGAAGCACTGGCAAAGTTAGACATTTCACAGTAAATGTGAAAGTTCATATTATATTATCTCTTAAAATGAACCTTTTCACCCTCTTTCCACAGCATGAAACTGTTATGGCTTAATTTATATTAAAAGTAGAAAAGTCTCTTCTGAAGGAAATACAGTCTGCGGAGATGCATACGCATTTCCTGATCAGTGCTATTTCATACCTAACAACTGCATGACTTGCTTTTGCAGTCAGAAGCTGTTTTTGGAAAAATTGAGGTTATAGATTTTGATTCAGTCTAACCATAAACTGTAAGGCCCTTAGTTTGGTTTAGGTTTCTTTTGCAAGATAAAATAACCTTGGGGTTCACTTAGTAAGTTACACCTCAGGTCCCTGACTATGATGTGGAAATTGTATGCATGCTTTGTAAAAATAAAAGGTTACTTATGAATCTCGGAGGGAAGAAATGATTCTAGGCAAGGAGTCAACTCCTTATTATATATTACATTTAATGCTGGTAATTTTTAGCAACCAAAATCCACCAAAGAAACATAAGAGTATGTCTGGGTTATTTTATTCCTGCAAAATATTATGTATTCCAGCACTTAAAATCATTGTTTTGGTGAAAAATCTTGAGAAAAAATAGCTGACATTTTGAAAAGAAAATGGCCCAAATAAAACTGATTGGAGACAAGTTTTACCTTGATAATTAAGTTCCATTGATGACTGCTTTCTGAAATGAAGAAAAGTGAATTCGGAAAGTCACAGGTCTTGCATAGGTAAGCTACTTGGAGGTCTAGGGCTACGCGGTAGCCAGGGTTTATTATCAGTGAAACAGTGCAGAGTAGATAAACATGTTGGAAGAATCACTGAATAGTTTCAAAAAGGCTTTAACAAAAAAGTGTTATGTTGTACTTGTTAAGACAAAGCCTTAGGACACTAGAAAGGGCACCAAGGGTGAGAGGAAGAATCGAAGAGTATTTCAAAAGAGTATTATTTTCGCCTTTCCATAAAGAGGAAAAAAATACTATAGAATAATAAAATCACAGTCAGTCACAATAAGCTAATTGCTTTGGAAACAAGCATTTGCTTCCTAATGACATTAATTCTTAAAAATTTATGTAGGGGATGTCAAATACTTGACTATGGCCTGACGTTCACCAGAAAATTAAAATAAGGGAAGGAAGGCTACAGTGTCTAGTAAGGCTACAGTATTAAGACTACATTACAACAGCAATATAGTGAGTAAATTAATTCTTCCCCTTTCTTTCCACTTGGCTTCCAGTAAGCACATGAGCATCAGCCACCAGAGGACAAGCAGAGGCTGCACAGCACCATGGACCAGGGGCTGTTTTAGGAAGCAAGGTATCAGAGGTCCCAGATTGTGTGTCTCCAGGCAAACACTGCCCTCTCTGGGTTTCATTTGTCTCCTTTATTTATGAGTGATATTCTTTTTCTAGGATAATGATCTGATGTTCAACCTTCTCAAGATTGCTTTAGATGAAGGTCTAGGGAAATCAGGAAAGGACTGGTGAGCAATTAGCTTAATATTTAATGAGAAAAATGAACTTTTGATAGTTACTTCTAGCAGTAGCACACTGGGTCATACAATTATTCCAATCAACTCGGTAGTCTTATCATTACAGAGAGCATCTTTTGAAAATAGCTAAAAGAATCTTTTCTGTTGAAGATGTGCAGTGGAGTCTCCTTTCCTACACTATTGCAGTGCTTCCTCACTTTAACCAACAAGCTGTTGTTACCCACCCAACAGCTGTCTTTGTGGATTCCAATCTTTCTAACCACCTTACTGTTTTCCCTACTTCACTGAAAAGTTGCTAAATCATTTTCATTCCACACCTATTTCACATTTTTCTAGTACGTGAAGAGTATGCTCAATTGTGGGGTCAGACTCAGGAAATCAGGTATTTCCTAATTCTTCTTTGAGAGAAACGTAAAGTTATCTTTCAATTACTTCACGTCACCTTAATGTACTTGAGGACAAACAGTCTCACTTTCTTATCCATAATCCAACTCATTTCTTCTTCCTTCACTGTAAGCATGGAATCCAATTTTAATTCAGCACCTTGTTAGAGATTCTTCAGATTTTTAAAGTGGCAGGCCCTGGGCATATATTTGATATGAAATACATTTTATGAAAATAGCAGTTTTCAATTTAAAATGGATATAAAGGTGCATTCATTATCAGTTGTAACTTAAATAATAATAAATTCGCTATGATATGTTAATAGACTATGGAATGCTTTTCTATGTTTTTCTTAGCTGGTTATCATAATAAGCATTATAATCTAAACTTAACAAATGAGAAAACTAAGAGATAGAATAAGCAACTTATTCAAGGTCACACAGCTGACACCTAAATGGCAGAGCGTGGACAAAAACCCGGGTCTTCTGCTTCCTTCTACACTATACCCATGCCCCTGTATGCTGCATTAAATTACTACCTTTTGAAATGTTTCTTAAATTTTGAAAAAGAACTCAGGTCTTTGTTTTACTTTCACTTCTACAGTGGCATATCTTGGTTGAAACTAATAAAGTTATGATGTTTTTTATGAATGGACTCTCTTTTGCTAAAGTTTGCTTAGAAGTGAAAATAATATTGCTAATGTCCTAGAGAAGATATCTTCAAGGGCAGAGACCAAAACTGCAACTCTACATTCCTCCCCACAGGACCAAGTAGTGCTGGGCACACAGCAGACGTATGAGAAGTACCTGTTGATCTCCTATGAATAAATACAGTAGAGTACATTGAAAAGGCATTAATTAGGATTATTAAAAAATAAAAAAGTATTTAAGCTAAGTATTTAATTAGTGATAAGAATGAGCTTATTCCTCTTGGAGTTTATGATTTCAGTCAGAATCTTCAATTTTGTATGTTTTAAAAAGAACTGATACTTAGGAAGTTCGATGTATTTCTAAGATACTGAACTACTCTAAACTGCCAGCTTTATATTGTTTACACCGTCCATTAGTATTGAGGAGTATAATATTATGTGATGTTGTGAATTACAGTACAGTGGATTCCAGGTTAAGTGTCACTTACTTAATAATATAGGAAAATTATCATCTATTACTATTAAGCTTGCGTATGTTAAATCATAATTCTCAATTTTACATATTTGTATTTGCTTACAACTAGCTAAATGCTATCACCACTGTCTTCCTATCTAAGTTGTGGTGTCTGTGTGGTAGAACTACACTGTCAAGCCCAGATACTGGCAGTAGTTACCTCAAAGTTCAGCCACTTGCGAGAAACAAAGGGACGCATCACCGCCAGTAACCCTATAAGAGGTCTGACTAGGAAAGTTTGACTGGATCAGTGGCTAGATTTTCACCAATTTGGAAAAGAATACATGTATTCTGTTATAGTGATTGTATCACTGTGTTTTGAGTTTTCTAACTTAATCAGTTAATGGGCTAAAACTGCCAAAAATGAATCCACAGTAACTTCACTTAAAAATCCCACATACTAGCTATTCAAAATTAGTATTTATTGGCCTAAGTACACAGGGTGAATGAATACTGGCCACATTTTTAATTCATAAAAAAAAATTAAGTTTTGTCTAATTTTTATGGCTAAAGAAGTAAAAGTAATTGAAAATATTTAGTTATAAAAAATGTAAAGAAAAAACCCTACCCTAGATCATGATGTAACTGGAAAAAGGAATTATAGCTGTTATTTCCTAATCCAAAATAAAAACATGTACTGTAACACCAGAACAGGGTCTACAGAAAACCAAGACATTACAATAATACACTGTGTGGGAAGGTAGAAGAATCAGTCAAATTCTAATTTGTGACATCTTGAGATAAAACTACCAGTGAATGACTGACTCTACCCACCTCTTTACTAGTTTTGGCATAGTGTAGACAGAATTTAATTAGGCTGTTTATAGACACTGAGGATTTCCATAACAATTCTTCCTGACACACAGATGAGATTCAAACTTTGATCCACTCACTCTGGACCAAAAAGGCTAATTTATAAGCTATTTCACATTTATTCCATAAAATTTTGGAATGGAGACAGAGTAAGAAATATTTCTCATTGAAAATATACATTTGAATGCAACCATAAAAGATGATGGTATAGTTTTTTTTATACTATTCAAGTGACACTTGAATAGTATAGAGGAGAAAGTCTTGCTACCTTGCTGAGTTAAAAAAAAAAAAAGACACATCTATAATATAGCCATATTTCTTTTCCATAAAAATAAAATTTATCCTATTTGCCTATATTTTCTTTGTAGGAATTGGTAAAATGCTCTATTGTCAGACCTGGGAACATTTCCAGCCCACTCCCAGAATTCAGTTATTTTTATGCTATGGGGGGAAAGGAGGGAAGGGAAAATAGAAACTATTACAAGCAACTGAAAACTGGCATTTAGTAAAATTGTACATAAAGGAGATAAATGATTAAAGTTCAACCAGACACTTAACCTCAACATGAACTAGTCAAGTTAGGATAGATGGAAGAAACTGCAAAAAGCACCCATTTTACTCCAAATCCATATCTTAAATAATTCTTTAGAAGGTTAAAAAATTAAAAAAGTAAACACACACACACACACACACACAAATCTCCAACATGCTTGCTTCTATACAACTTAATATAATTCTATTATAGTACGGCTTATTATGCAGATTTGAATATCCTCAGTCAAACCATATTTTCTAACAAATTAGGTATAGAGAATAAAAGCAGTAAGATATAACCTTTGCAGCAGGTGTTGGTCCTGTTCACCAACACTAGCATTATGAAGAAGGCCCACTATAGTTACAAATGTATTTGGAAAAACTACAAACATGACAATTTAACCAAACTTATAATACTTTTCCCACAAGTAGGAAAAAGATATTAAAGCTGTTCTCTTTGGGACCCAGATATCATCAGCAGAAATGAAAATGCAAGAAGCCTATTTTTTTATATTTAGAAGAAAATCACAATGTCAAACGAAATGAGAAATGAGGAATCTTTTATGGAGTTCTTACACATTGGCTATGAAAGTGTTTCCCTGCAAAGAGAAGAGTCTTGTTGGGTCATCACAGAATGACTGGGAGTGCAGACGGAAGGTGGGATATAAGGTAATTAACCTGGATAACAGTATGCACCTTGGATGTTAGCAAAAGCGAAGCTAATAGCTTATAAAAAACACATGAAATATATAAAATAAAATGATTTTCATATACATCTTAATTTAAAATAATTAATGCATCAAATCCCTGTTTAAGACTTTAACCTGAATATCAAATTTAAGAGTCCAGACTAGTTACTGTTACTGTGGCTCTTCCCCACATATAACACACACACTATCAAAAATAATTTAAAAACCTTCACATTCTTAAATCTAAATTAGTGAGATATTTCTCCAGAAATCTTCCAAATAAATAGCTTTAAAAAAGAAAGAATTTATAAGCTGTTAACTTTAAAAAAATCTGTTAAATAAATTATTGATAATTCTTTATCCTACCACTGAAAATAAATCAAGACACTACCAACAACAAAATGAAATTCAAGCCCTGACAAGAGACCCTTTCCAGTTCAAGGTCTCTTTTTAAGGTTCTACCCTCCTTCTTCCTCTCCCCCACCAGGTCCAAAATGGTTATTGCTGAGTGGGTGTGGCACAGTGAAAATGCAGCATCAGGTTCGCTCTGTTCTTCGGGCAGTGTTCTTACTGTACACGCAAATTGCTCCAGGCAGAAGGATGGCAGAAGCTCCAGGCTCCTGCACCCCCGAGACTGGTCTCCAAAGGGAAAAGTGGCTGCAACAGTAGCTCTGTCACACAAAGAAACGTGCATGGCCATTTCTGTTCAATTTAAGGATCTTCCCAAGACGTTGTTTTGCTGTTGCCATTCCTTTTTTTGGGCGTTTACCTACAAAACACCAACAACAGTGTAAATAATAATGAAAAGCACACTTGGCAAACAGCACCTGGAAGACTTAAAGGGAGAGCTTTATGGAAAGTTAAGTCCTGTAAGAGTTCTCAATGGACAAAGTCATACTTCTGGACTTCCACTGTTTAAAACGCATCCACCTGCTCACATTAGGGTTAAAGGCCAACCTCCTTCGCTAGACTTACAAGGTCCTCCCACAGTTTGATCTCTGCCTAGCTTTTCAGCCTCAACTCTTACCTATCCTGCTTCAAACTGTGCTTTGGCAACAAAACTCACTGCAATTTCACAAATACACCACATCCTGTTTCTGCCCTTCATGCTCTGGCTCAGGCTCTTGCCCTGCCTTCAAAGCTGCCTATTCTGTCACTCCCCCCAACTCAGCCTGGCTAACCCTTAGCATCCTTTTTTAGGGTATGCCTCCTGATGCTTAAGGCTGACTTAGGTACCTCCTCCTTTGTTCCCACAGCAGCCTGTGGACACTGTCATCGCTGTGCTGTCCATAATGCACTAGATGGTGAGCAACTTGAGTGCAGAGACTGTATCTAAACTGCCACTATTACCATCCTACACACTCAGAAATATACCTAATCTACAATTGTGTAAAAGTTACCTTTTGTTGCCTGGTTGCTGATAGGTGGTGGATTTGATGCAGGTCTCTTGGTAGGGTGAAGGGGCACTGAAAAGGAAGTTTCACCAACTGCCCTTTCTGGGCTTAGACTGCCATTACTTATCTGGCACGCCCCTGAAATCAAGCTTGAATTCTGTATGTACTTTCCGTTCTGAAGGCCTGAGCCACTGCTGTCCACATAATTCCTACTTGGTACCTTCTGACTGGTTTCTGATGAACCTTCCTTTTTGATGCATTTCTGGCTTCTACTTAGATCCTAGAAGAACGAAGGAAATGAGGCTGAATTTTTAGGGTTTAAGAAAAGTGAGGTATTTAAGTTTTCTATGCATTAGGAAAATCAAGAGAGAAGAAATAAACTAATGAATTTTTGGTTTTCTTAACTTCCATCAGCCAGAGATGACTACCCTTTCATGATGGTTATCTCAGTTCATAAACCTAATAGGTTTGAAGGATTTGGGTCTTGAAGTTGCTTCGTAACTTAAGTAAGAAAAAGGAGAGAAAATAATTTAAACAAGCAGGAATGCCCTGCCTGCCATTCCACTCAGTGAGCATGTGCCATGGAGGACCCAAGATAGGAGGAATGGACTGATGCTTCCTCAGCATGCCACAGCTCCCTTCTACCTTTCATGGTGTAATGTACTATTCTTTTCTAGAACCTAGCTTCTTTAAGTTTCATCTCCACTGAATTTGTTTTCTAGAAAATCCTTAGATCCAGAGCCCCAAGCTTGGTATTTTTCTTTAAATACAACTCCTCTTTCAGTCTCTTAAGACTACTGAATAAACTTTTAGGAAAAAAAAATGCTACTGATTGGTGAGTCTTGCAATCAACTGAGAGGTCAAGACCAGCATTAAAAAGAGAAAAGAATAGACTGGACATGAAAAGAATACACTGTGGCATGATGTTTCATGAAACCAGTTTTAATTATGCATGTGTGTGTATGAGAGAGATATAAAATATATCTCTGATTCTGTCATGATCAAATAAGTTTCAAAAAGACTATTAAACATAGACTTGCTTTAGATTAGTGTCAGAAATATTCTTGAGCATGAAGAGGCAACTGCTATAATTTGACATGCCATTATAATACCTATTTAGAGTAAAAGCAAAAGAAACTTAATTTTCTCTGATATGATCTTGCTAATTATCACTTCTTCATTTATTTTCAAAGAGAATTATAAAAACAGCCAGATTTAAATAATAGCTTACTTTTAATACTGAATCCTATAATGTTAATAAGTGATAAACTTATGACCAGCTACAGTGAGGAATTATAAAATAATATATTGAAAAAGTAAATTATAACAATTAAGAGATTTTGTACTTGACCTGGAGTATATCCTTCTATTCAATAAAGAACTTATACTCACAAAGCCTTGCTTTAAAAAGATAACTTGGCTGTTTTTCTTCTTGTAAAAGTAATAGCTAAATATATCACTTCTTGGCCTTTTGGCTAAGGTCAAGTGTAATAATAGCTAAATATTTAGAAAATACAGATAAGCCAAATAAAGGAAATAAAAATCACCCATAATTCCATTACTCAGAGATTAATGATCTTACATATTTAGTGGAGAGTCTAATTGTCTTTTCTGGCTATATACAAACACATCTCATACCACCAACTCAACCCAGGGCTCTAGAAGATGGCAAAATCTAGAGGCCCTTTCCACTTCTGCTGAGATCTTTCAGTGCTATGAGAGAGCTTTATTTACATGAGATTTTTCCTTCACCACTTCTTAACTGCCTACTCAAGTTCCCCTGTTCCCCTTCCCCCCCAAAATGTTTCTTTACACTAGAGAAAACTAGGGGCAATATTTCTGCTTTTGCTGATTTACTTACTTTTTAAAATATGATGCAGGTTGGGGAGGTTTAGGGGCCCTACCCTACCACATAAGAATTTTGATTCTTTCGCTGCCATTTTCCAAGGTTTGCAGCAAAAGATCATATCACTTTCCTTATTTGGTGCTTCTGGTAAAGGTTTAGGTTTTTTAAAAATGCTATTTTTGTTTCATTTTGTTTAGTGTAAGCATTAATATGCTGGGATCCTAAAACATCTGGTTTCTTCTGTATTTCTGTCCATGTAAAAAAAGAAAAAAAGAAACATCTAGTTTCTTCTCTTAGAGTGGAGGTTCTTAATCTGAAGTTAATGGATAGTCTGAGGTGGGCGTTGGGGTGTGGGTAGCAGCACAAACATGAAAAAATGTAAGCAAAAGTCAATATTTATGGTGAACATTGTTCTGGAAAGAGAATCTATAACTTTCATCAAATTCTTAAAGGAATTTAGTATCTAAAAATGTTTAAGAAATAACATCAGGCTGGGTATAGTGGCTCACACCTATAATCCTAGCACTTTGGGAGGCTGAGGTAAGAGGATTGCTTGAGGCCAGGAGTTCAAGACCAGGCTGGGCAAGACAGCGAGACCCCATCTCTACAAAAAATAGAAAAAAGTAGCTGGGCATTGTGACGTGTGCCGATAGTCCCAGTTGACTCAGGAGGCTAAGCTGGGAGGATCACTTGAACCTAGGAGTTTGAGGCTGCAGTGAGTTATGATCACACTACTGCACTCTAGGTTAGACAACAGAGCAAGACCCTGTCTCTTAAGAAAAAAAAAAGAAAGAAAGAACATCAGAGATTAAAAAAGAGATCCTCCTGGTATTCTTTACCTTTCATGTTTCATTCTAACCAGACATACCTCTAAGTGTCAGCAGTCATTAGTTTTTAAAACTACTTCTTTGAATAAATTATTCTTTTCCAGATCACATTCTATCCATGACATTATATTAGTTATCATATCAGAATCTCTAAAAATGGACAGTTGTTCAAATGTGCATTTAATTGTAATTTTTTGGCTCCCTAGATCTAATAGTTGATAACCAATTGTTACAGTTTTAAAAAGAAAGCAAAAACAGATAATTTTAAATGTCCTTATATGTTTCAATCTTTGAATATACCTGAGGATTAAATCTGGAAGTATCAAATTGTTTAATCCAGGAAGAAGTCCTCAAGTCTTGATCTTCAGTCTTGACATGGTATCCTAAAGAGAAGTTTTAATTAAATTATCTTTGCACAAACTTGATCTGAAAGAATAAAATTAAGCTAATGCTTAAAATTGAAAACAAATTTATATTGACATTTTATTTAAAAATAAATACATTAACTCTTTAGATATTTATTCATATACTTTCCCCTTCACTATACTCCTTTTCCTCTCAAAAGCAAAGAACAATCACCAGCTCACAACTGATCATGTTAATTCTTTCGATTCTCTCTAATACTATATTTCTTCTTTTTTTTTTTTTTAAGGCTAGGTAAGTGAAGCAGTAGTAGGCATGAAGAAGGAACAAAGAAATCTGTAACACTGTGACCAATTAGTTGTAAATACCACTGTACTCAGTCCAGCCTCAAAGATTTTCTTAATTTCCCAGGTTTTGGGTCACATGCTGGAAGACCTATAATCAAATTCTACGGCCATCTGTTGTATATGTAAAACCAAATGCAATATACTTTCTCTAAAAATGGTATTTTCCATGTACAATATTTTCCCATATAGAATAAAGCAGGTGTTTGCCTGAATTTTGTAGTATTTCCATAAAAACTTTCTTTTCAAGGGACCAAAGAGATCTTAGAAAGAAAAAATGATGCCATGGAAAGACAGAGAAATTCAGATTTGAATTTGAGTTCTTCCATTACTAATGCAACTTTAGGCAAGTTACTTATCCTCTCCAAACTTCAGTTTCCTCTTATACAATAAGCACAGATTTTGAGATCAGATGGTCTTGGGTTTAAATTCCAACACCATTGAGTAATAGCTATGTAAAGTGTGGGCAAATTAAATTAATTTTACTAAGTCTTGTTTCCTTTACCTGTAAAATGGGAATGGATTTTTACCTATACCATAAGTGTTGTTTCAAGAATTAAGTGAAATGAATGCCAAGTTCCTGGTCCATCGCTAACAATTATATGGGATCCAACATAATTATTACATAGGCATTCAATTTTAATGTAGTCCATCTTTTTTCTCCAATCTTCCTCAGGCTTTTAGGGAAACAAAAATTTGCCCTGAAGGCACAAAGCAGAAAACACTGTGGGGCATGTCTGACACAGCGATCAAGTCTGCCCTCTTTTCTCAATACTCCTTTCTTTAAGTAGAGTAATAGCCCTCAATCCAAAAGAAACAGTTCAAAACTTGTTTTCCCTTTCCTAAAAGGAAAATAGGATTCAAGTTTAGCAGACCATTTAAGACACCAAAACATTCCTTTTCACTCTGACAATAATACTAACTCTCTTGCAATAGCAATGGTAGAATTATGCTACGGAACACAATTCTCAATTCCAGGTAATTTACATTTTGAGTTCTTATGCTTCTGTGTTACATGACTTGTCAGCATTACACAGTTTTTTTTTTTTGTTTTTTTTTTGAGACAGAGTCTCGCTTTGTTGCCCTGGCTAGAATGAGTGCCGTGGGGTCAGCCTAGCTCACAGCAATCTCAATCTCCTGGGCTCAAGCAATCCTGCTGCCTCAGTCTCCCAAGTAGCTGGGACTACAGGCAGGCGCCACCATGCCAGCTATTTTGTATATATATATTAGTGGCCAATTAATTTCTTTCTATTTATAGTAGAGATGGGTCTCGCTCTTGCTCAGGCTGGTTTCAAACTCCTGACCTCGAGCAACTCGCCCACCTCGCCTCCCAGAGTGCTAGGATTACAGGTGTGAGCCACCACGCCGGCCTGCATTACACAGTTTTTTTCAGCATTCTAACACCATTTCTAGCTAAAGGTGTGCAATGAATAGTCCTTAATCAAAATCTCCAACTTCAACAGGATTATTGAGCTACTAAGTTGGGCATCATATGTTACTTCTTAAAGACTGATAAATTTTTTTTCTTACCACATTCCACTGGTTTATCATAGCGATACAACTGCCTAACCTCATGGTTACTGCTGTGCAGCTGCTGGACCGGTGAGAGTTTCCACTGCTGCAGTCTGTGCTTTGTATTTGCCTTTGTAAACATGTGGAATAGTGCAACCCTGCCATAGACAGCATGCCCTGAATAGCTTCTTCCTCTGTGCTCGTCGGGGTAGGACATTCCTAAAAAGCAGAATACAAAAAACAAGAGTGTATTTTTCTGATAAAATTTTTGGCAATTTTTTTTTTCCTTTTTTATAATCCTGGACTCCCTCTACGCTCCGCGTCCCCCAAACTGCTCTTCCCCGGGTCCTTTTCTCTGTCCATGACCCCCAGGCTGGCCATGACTCCATCTTCTCTCTCTCAGACCCCCACACCAGGTCAGGAGCCATGCCATGCCAGCGCCACCCCCATTCCATTGTGGCTCCCACCGTGGCCCCTGTCCTCCATTTCTTCTTTTTTTTTTTTTCTTTTTTATCATGAGTTGTAGCAAGTATCTGTCCTCCATTTCTGTCCACCCTGAGAAGCATTCTGCCTGAACAGTTAGGATCTCAGCCCTAACACAGGATTCACAGACCAGACACTTATATCTGGATTACCTGGGCAAGTCCCTGCCTGCTTTGCCTCAGTGTTTTCACATCTAAAATGGGACAATAGGCCAGGTGCGGTGGCTCACACCTGTAATCCTAGCACTCTGGAGCCGAGGCGGGCAGATTGCTCCAGGTCAGGAGTTCAAAACCAACCTGAGCAAAGAGCGAGACCCTGTTTTTACTATAAATAGAAAGAAATTAATTGGCCAACTAAATATATGTAGAAAAAATTATCCAGGCATGGTGGCACATGCCTGTAGTCCCAGCTACTCGGGAGGCTGAGGCAGGAGGATCGCTTGAGCCGCATGGAGTCTTGAGGTTGCTGTGAGCTAGGCTGATGCCACGGCACTCACTCTAGCCTGGGCAACAAAGCGAGACTCTGTCTCAAAAAAAATAACTAAATAAAATGGGGACAATGATAGCACCCACTCCACATGGTTGCTGTGAAGATTGATGGCACTCGGCACACAGTAAGCATGTCATATACACGTTACATACATGTTAGCTAGTGCTCTTGTGATCCAGCCACCCCCAGGCCTGCAACAGGACTGTGCAGTGGCCTCTCAGCTGGACTTCCCAGCTGCAGCTGGGCACCCCTGACCCGGCCACACTTCTGCTCCGGCGTAAGCTTCCTCATACATGGCTCTGAGCAGGCTACTCATGGGTTTCTCAGTCTGCCTGGGGAAGCCCATGCTCCTGTATGGCCTGGCATTCAAGGCCTTTCCTATCAGGCCTGTCCCTGCCTTTCTTCATCCATCCCTTGCTGTATCCTCATCTACCTAGGCCTGAACCCAGACATTATAAACTGTTGCTGGAAACCTTTCTTCCAAAGGAATTTACACAGACTCCTAATGTATAGAGCAGCTAGAAGGGTAATTGCTCTGGTTGAGGCACCTGTCAGCCTGCCTGGCTGCCACCTCCCAGTCCCTAGGGGCAACAGGCCCAGCAGTTTGCAATGTTGCCTCAGCCCCATGCCTGGCCACATTGCTTCCCACTTCCTAGCCATTGCGAAGGCAGCATCCTTAGCCAAGTATGTGCTCTCCCAAGCTCTTCACTTCAAGCCCAACCACATCTACAAGATGTGACTCCAATGCCATGCCTCTTCTGAAGCCTCTGCAGTGCGCATCTCCATTCCCACAGCCCCGCTGCTCCTTCCTCTCGGAGAGTTGATCGTGTCCTGCCTAGTAGCATGGATATCTGTGTCTCTGCCTTATCTCTCCCACTAGCCTTTGAGCCTCCTGAGGCAGAATTCATACTTGAATCATTGCTGCCTTCCACACGGTATGGGACAGTGGCCTCCAAGCACAGTCGTGGCCCTGCCCCTCATTACTCCTCTCCGCTTATATCATACCTGGTCCGCACTTAACCTGCCACGTTTCAGGCAGGATCATAGAAGTGATCGAGAGACCCAGGCCTGTTCTGTGATCTCTGGGATGTTGCTTGGGGTCTCTGTGCCTCCATTTTCCAGTTGTAAAAAGGAAGTAGTAACAGAACCTTTCTTGCAGGGTCACTTTGAGGGTGAGTTAAAATAACACACGGAAGGGCATAGCACTGTGCCCGGGTTTAGTGAGCATGCAATACACATTAGGCATTATTGGAGGGAGGGAAGCCAATGCAATCAGGTGATGATTCTCAGGTGAGCATGTGACACTACTAACTGCTCACACCATCATTATGCTTTTCCAGGGGTACAGGTGGGCTGCATTTCCCAGTCTCCCCTGCAGTTGGATTTGGCCAGGTGACTAATTTCCACCAATGGCATGTGAACACAAGTGATAAGTGTCACCCCCAGGCTCAATTTTGGCAAAATTTAAAACTAAAAAAATGTTTTCATTTTTTTATATGTAATAAGACTGCTGCCATCAGCCTACCTTTTAATTGGAATTTCACTTCTAGATGGCTTCTGGCTCTTTTGAAGGAAGTTTCTCACCACAGTAGATTCTTCCTTAAAGTTTGATGTTATTTCTTGTTTCTTTTCATCACCTGAACTTTCAGACTCTTCAGTGGTAAAATTATTTTTCTGAAATAATCCATAATTAAATGGAAATAAAGCCACATAAGAAATTGACCAAGTCTGTACAAACTAATCCAAAAGATTTTATATATCTGTGGAAAATCAAAATCTTAATTATCGTGAAACTATTCTGTATTTCGTGTGAAAATCTCTATTAACTATAGGAACATACTAACTTTATAAAAAACACACAGGCTTTCTTTAAGGTACAATGAAATATAACCTATGAGAGATATGCGAAACATTAAGAACAGTATAAGCAGAAGAATCTCTCTCCACCCTTTCCAAAATCAGACAAAAATAAGTTTGTCAAATGTGAACAGTCACATGACAGTGGGTGACACTGTGGGTGACACCCACAATGACCACTACAGGAAGACCCTGTGCTACACAGCTCAGAGACAAGCTTTGAGGAAAGCTGTCATTTGCTTTCCTCCCAGGTGATGATACGTCCTCCTCATCTTTCCATCAAATAATGTACAAGCCAGAGTCTCAGACGTACCAGTGCAGTGCACTCAGGTCCAGAGTCTTCTGACTCAGAAATATCGGAATATCCTGATGATTTACTCCTGAGTTCTGATTTCACATGTGTAAAAAACCCTGAGAAAGAAGGGAAAGGATGAGAAAAAAAGAGAAAGTCATTAGAATTTGATGAACAAGGTACAAGGTGATCTCTAAAGTCCACCTGGCTCTGATGTCTCCCAATCTCTCCTCTTATCCTCTTTTCTCACTTATGTTTTCTCCATTTCTTTCTCCCCTCCAGGTCTTTCTCCCCAATTGACCAAGATACAAACTGAAGTATATACTTAAATATAAGTGTGGTATTTATTAAACATGATTATATATATTTGGGTGGGCTGTCCATTTTATATTTCTTTCCATAAAAAGCTTCCAAAACTAAAACTAGCTATTTACAAGATGCTTTTCACTTCTCCTTTTGTATTAGTTCTATCATTAGGAAAAAAAAAGATAACTTTCTTAAACCTAAAAAGCATTCACATAGTTGGTCAAACCACAATACATGGATACCTAACAGCTTCAGATCAGCCAGTTATATATCTCCTGAAAATTATATACATGCTAACTAAAATAATATATAAAATTCATTAAACTTTAAATTTTTATTTTGGATATTAGAGGCCTATAAAATGTATGAGCCTTCATGTGACTCTTTAAAAACTGATTAGACAAAGGTATGTGACCCACACAAATCCCCTCACTGATAACACCTTCCCTTGCTACTATACCTCACTTGGCATTCACATCATTAGGCACCTCCCTGATGGGTGACCTACTCAGACATACTTCTGATTTTTCAAAACAGTGTTAGGGACACAGAAATTTTCAATCCTACTATAAACTTAAGAACTTTAAAGTTAGCAAGTTACTTAACATATTACCAAATTAGTAATGAAGAAATCTTCAAAATGACCATTAAAACAAACATACTGTTAAGTGGTTTTTGAGATGTTTCATTTTCCATCCCCTCTATTCCTGAACTCTCTTCTATCTTCATCTTTGTCTTTTTTGTCCTTCTTTTATCCTCTTCATTTTCACTATCTGCTGTATAAAGACTCTGATCTGTGAAGGGCTGTCTCTCATCTCTGTATCATGAAGGAAAAATAATCAAGTCAGAAAACAGTGCAAGACTATGTAGTCGAATGATATTCCCCACCTCCTTAATTTACACAGTAGAGAACTGAGACCCTGTCCCCGTATTTTAGTCAGCTATGCAACGGTATGGACTAGGGATATGATGAACAAAGGGAATCTACTGAAAATTAATCTACTTTATACTTTGATCTACTTTACATACTTGATTATTCTTCCATTTGTCAGCAGTAATCGTAGATCATTATCTTTTGCTCTCCATTCAGGTACTGTGGAAGATGGCTGGAGATGTTTGTTGAATTTCCCATTTAGTTTAGAGCCCAAGATGTCCTTAAAGTATAAAAGCAGAAGTTACTTAACCTCCACCCTCAGATAGCCCTGTTTGACTGAAGAATACAGTATACCACCACCTCCCCTGTGGCCCTGCATCTCAAGGTGACACGCAGCTGCCAGGGTGTGGGGACATGTAGCAGTATGACACTCCAGAGTTCCCGAAGTAGAAGATAAAATGTGCATAAAGTGAATTCAAAGAAATATCACTCTTGTACAAAGCTGAATAACTGGAGCAGCACTGCCTTAAGGTATTTTAACTCTCTTCCCCTTGCTTCTTCCTGCCTAAGTGCTAGCTCCTGGACCTTTCCATTCACCCTATCCTTCACTTACTATCTACCTAGCAACAAACAGGTCACCACAATGCTACCACCAGGAATAAAGGCTACTATGTGACATCAAGGTACAATAGTAGCTGGATTTTAATGCATAAAAAAGATTTCCTTTTCATGGTAATTTTTCCCTTAATAATAAACAGAACTTCCAAATAAGCTAAAACTTCCGTAGTGACTATGGGTTAAGTAGGTTTAGAACAATGTAATACTAAAACAATTATATAAAATTTAAAATATTTTAGAAAGTTAAAGTTTCTATGTAACTTCTTTATATCTATTTTAATTCAGAGATACCCCTATCTGATTCATTTTATTTATCTATTTATTCTTATGTTTTTAGTGTTGGGGGTCTTGCTATATTGCCCAGGCTGATCTCAAACTCCTAGGATCAAGGGATCGTTCTGCTTCAACCAACCTCTCGAGTAGCCAGGACTGCAGGTGTACACCACCACATCCAACTCTTCTCTCTCATTCATTTTATTTATTTATTTATTTTTATTTTTTTGAGACAGTGTCTCACTTTGTTGCCCAAGCTAGAGTGAGTGCCATGGCGTCAGCCTAGCTCACAGCAGCCTCAAACTCCTGGGCTCAAGCGATCCTCTTGCCTCAGCCTCCCAAGTAGCTGGGACTACAGGCATGCGCCACCATGTCCGGTTAATTTTTTCTATATATATATTAGTTGGCCAATTAATTTCTTTCTATTCATAGTAGAGACAGGGTCTCGCTCTTGCTCAGGCTGTTTTCGAACTCCTGACCTCGAGTAATCCACCTGCCTCGGCCTCCCAGAGTGCTAGGATTACAGGCGTGAGCCACTGTGCCCGGCCTCTCTCATCATTTTAAATTATTGTCTATCCTCTACTTAAGATATAAAATTATAGGTGATACAGATCTCACCATAAACTTGTAACCATGTTTTATTAAGGCACTACATCAATCTTATTACTGCCTCCCACTCTCCCCCCCTTTGTCCAGTAGGCCAGCACTTTCCAAACTTTAATTAGTTTATTCTAACAGTCTCCCAGTCTAACAGTTATCTAGCCTGATGCTGTTGGCTCAAGCATAGGTTTTCTGCATTTGTTCTTCTCTCTGCCTATAACATTATTCCTCAAATGTCTGTGTATTCATTTGACCTTGAATGATTTAAGTGTCAGTTCAAATCTGAGAGGCTCTCTGACCACCTTAGCTAAAGTACCCAGCCACACCATACCTCTTTATTCTACTGCTCTGTTGTGTGGGTTCTTTCAAAAACACTTATAATCTGAAATTATATTATTTTAGTATATGTCTGTGCCTCTACATCCTTCCAACTTGAACTAGGATGGAAGCTTCATGAGGGCAAGGACTTGAGTTTTGCTCTCTCTGGCATCTTCTCCAGAGCCTAGAAGAGCATGTGGTGTGTGGTAAACATTCAATAATCATGTCAGGAAATCAATGAGGTCTATTCATCCTAATTCTATACTGATAACTAGAAAGATTCAGCACCACTCCTTGAAACAGGCAGAACTACTGGATGACCCCTATAATTTTACAGCAAAAATGAGATAACAAGAATAGTCAGAATGTTCACTTTTTATTACCCCTTTAAAGAACTTTAAGGAATAATGAAGTCTCTTTTTGTTATTATGAAACAATACTTGCCTCTTCCCATGGACACATCTCTAATCTTTTGAGGACTTCCCTGGTGTGGAGCTCTAGGATGTCTAGGTTAGAAGGAGTTCGGACATTATGATCTCGAAGTTTCCTCATCTTTCGTCGGGAATGGTAGGGGGAAGTTGCTTCATTTGAGGATCGTGAAACTGGACACACAGTAGGAATTCCCTGAGATTTAACTGGTTTGCCATTTTCCTCCTTTAAGAATTAAAGTCAGAGTATGTTTATGACAAGATTACTATATACACATCTGACTAATCGTCCATAAAGATATTTCAGAAAACAAAAACTATTCAGTTTAATCATATAAACAAAAGACTAAATCATAAGCCTCAAAGAGCTTTGCTGAGACCTTTATTCCCTTCTCTCCCCCAAACAGGATACTGTGAACATATTTCCTTAATTTTAATATCATATTAAAGGTGGTGTTGTATTCCACTGTATGGATATGCCATAATTTACTTACCTAATGCTCATTGGTATCCATTAAGGCTGCTTCCAGTTCTTTCCCACAATAAGCATTCTTTTCACATACATATTTGCATAAATATGTTTGCTTACTTTTTAAAACACGTTTTAAAATTTTTTCTTTTTAAAGACAGTGTCTCACTCTATTGTCCAGGCTAGAGTGCAATGGCATGACCACAGCTCACTGCAGCCTCAAACTCCTGGGCTCAAGTAGTCCTCCCAACTTAGCCTCCCCAAGTAGCTGGGACTATAGGCCTGTGCCACCACACCTGGCTAATTTTTAAATTTTTTTGCAGAGATGGCCTCTTGCTATGTTGCCCAGACTGGTCTTGAACTCCTGGCCTCAAGTGATCTTCTTGCCTCAGCCTCCCAAAGTGTTGGGATTATAGGCATGAGCCACTGTGCTAGCCAAGATTTACTTTTTAAACCAAAATCACACATCTATGTAGCTTTTAAAATTAAATACTCTATAAGCATATCATGAAAAGTAGTGATCTACTCGTCCCTATCCTTGATGCCCATTCTCCAGAGGCAATCACCTACAACCATTTTTGTTTTTTTGTTTTACTGTGGTAACATACATATAACATAAAATTCTCTATTTTAACCATTTTTAAGTATACAGTTCAGTGCCATTAAGTACATTCAAACTGTTGTACAACTATCACCACCATCCATCTCCAGAAATTTCTCATCTGCACAAACTGAAACTGTATCCATTAAACAATAACTTCCCATTCTCTCCCCTCCCCTCGACCCCTAGCAACTACCATTCTGCCTACACTCCATGAATTTGACAACACTAGGAACTTCATATAAGTGGACTTATATAATATTTGTCCTTTGGTGACTGGCTTATTTCACTTAGCAAAATATCTTTAAGGTTCATCTACATTGTAGCATGTGTCAAAATTTCCTTCTTCTAGTTAATATAAGGCTGAATAATATTCCATTGTATGTATGTACCACATTTTGTTTATCTGTACATCCACTGATGGACACCTGGGTTGCTCAGCCCACCTTTTTGCCATTGTGCATACTGCTGCTATAAACCTGGGTTTACATACATCTATTCGAGTCCCTGGTTTTAATTCTTTTGGGTATTGGGTAGCCATGACTCACAACTCTACTAATTATGATGTTTGTCCCCAGTTTTTTGCCTCCAAATTTCTAAATAACATGTTTATATACTATTTTCAGTTTCTGTTATTACTGGATTACTACTATGCAAGATGAAGTCTTAATCCTTAATCCATACATCTCGTAAACATACACTTACTTCCCTTTCCTTCAATATTCTGTATTTAAATTATGCTCAGTAAAAATTATCAATAACCCAATGACACATAACATAATATTACATTCCTTTCTTTTATATCCTTCCATAATCCCTTGAGTTATCACTGCCTCACTTCCCATCTGCTTTGTTTTCTATGTATTAATTTGTATCACTAATTGATCCCCAAATTCTCCATTAGAAGAATGCAAACATTCAAACGCATTAAGTAATCTATCAATTTTATGTTTTTCTTTGGAGACATACCTCCTGGATAGGATTGCCAGATAAAATACAAGACACCCAATTAAACTTAAATTTCAGGTAACAACAAATATGGAGTTTTTCAGTCTCTTGATCCATCCTGCACTAGCTGCTTTCTGGGCCAGACTTATTCTTCCAGGTGTATTTTACCACTTTAAATTGTAATATTAATTTGGAGTTGACATATTCTCAGAAATGACATTCCCATTTATTTAAGTATTGTTTTACTTCCCTTAATAAAGATTTATAGTTTTTTTCATATAGATTCATACCTGTTTTATTAAGTTTATCCTTAGTTTTAGTTGTCATACATGAGATTTATCTATGTATACATTTACATATATAAGATCAGATATATGACTTTTGATACTAAATTCATTTAAATATGATTACTATCACTCTTTAAAAACAGAAAATATTTTTCTACTATAGCTGAACACATTGAGAATTACACAAACTATTCTATTCATCATTTTAAAATCCATTCAGCATTTTAATATTTCTTAGATATATACCTCTTCCCATTTCCCAAACACAACCCTAACATGATAAGCTGTGAAATTATCAGTTGGCCTTCATTCCGCCACTAATTTCCTCAGTTCAAGCTAGACACTAACAGAACCACCTTCCTGAAGAATTACTTTAATAAAAACACCCTGGCCGGGCGCGGTGGCTCACGCCTGTAATCCTAGCTCTCTGGGAGGCCGAGGCGGGCGGATTGCTCGAGGTCAGGAGTTCGAAACCAGCCTGAGCAAGAGCGAGACCCCGTCTCTACTATAAATAGAAAGAAATTAATTGGCCAACTAATATATACAAAAAATTAGCCGGGCATGGTGGCGAATGCCTGTAGTCCCAGCTACTTGGGAGGCTGAGGCAGGAGGATTGCTTGAGCCAGGAGTTTGAGGTTGCTGTGAGCTAGGCTGACGCCATGGCACTCACTCTAGCCTGGGCAACAAAGCGGGACTCTGTCTCAAAAAAAAAAAAAAAAAAAAAAAAAAAAACACCCTTTCTTAAACACCTGGAAGAGCCCTTAATTAATAAATTAAAACACCCAATCACAGATTTTATGAGCTTTTATCAAAGGGCATTTACCTGACCAAGTTGCTCTATTTCTGTCCCACCCCACCAACTTCATTGCTTTCTCCCACCCAGCTTCCCTAGCATGACTCATCCCTCCTACATTTTTTCTCTTGCTGTAATTACTTAACATGTATTCATCTCTGAGTAGCTGAAATTAACTGGTTCTGAAAGTTGTGTTTTTCATTTTTAAAGTAACCTAAAGTAATCTGATAACTGCTTATTATTTCATTCCAATATAATATTCTAATTTTCTAAGTCTTTAGAAGCCTGAAAACCTAAGAATCCATCCAAGACTCATCTCATTCTATTACTTCTAAGTGTGTAAGAGTTTTCAAATGTTTGTAGTGTGCTGGTAGATGCATCTGCTTCTCAAAACAGATAGTACTGAAGCATTTACATGATAGTTTTTACTCTTACCTCTATTGCTCGAATTACTTTAGAAAGTTCTTTAATAAGATGTCCAGGTCTAACATTGTCTGGAATTTCAAAGGCATGTTCAGATACAAGCTGTATGTGGATTAACAAAAATAAGAAAATCAGAGTTACTTACATTTTTATAAGTAAAAACTAATTTTCTAAACCAATTTTTGGGTTCTCTAGACTTTATAGACACAGTCAAATACTAGTAAGCCATGTCTCATAGTTCATTAAGTTGGTATAATACCTTCAAAAGAGTTCCTTATTAACACATAAAAATCCTCTTAGATGGCCAGGCGTGGTGGCTCACGCCTGTAATCCTAGCACTCTGGGAGGCCGAGGCGGGCGGATTGCTCCAGGTCAGGAGTTCAAAACCAGCCTGAGCAAGAGCAAGACCCCGTTCTCTACTATAAATAGAAAGAAATTAATTGGCCAACTAATATATATACAAAAAATTAGCCGGGCATGGTGGTGCATGCCTGTAGTCCCAGCCACTTGGGAGGCTGCGGCAGCAGGATTGCTTGAGCCCAGGAGTTTGAGGTTGCTGTGAGCTAGGCTGATGCCACGGCACTCACTCTAGCCTGGGCAACAAAGCGAGACTCTGTCTCAAAAAAAAAAAAGAAACAAACAAAAATCCCCTTAGATGAACTTGTTCCACAGTGAGTTTTACTTTATATGGAGTAGTAACCTTATACTCTACACCTCAAAGCCTACTGTAATTCTTACTACTAATAATTAGTAAGGTAGCTAATTAAGCCTAACATTTAATTCATAATGCATAAATATTTTTAAGGGGAACACAAGCACTAACATAATCCTAGTTTCTCTTGGGAAGTCTAATTTGAATAAATTTTTGTCAATTTTTTTTTTCTTTTAATAATCAAAAGCAGGCCAGGGCATGGTGGCTCACGCTTGTAATCCTAGCACTCTGGGAGGCAGAGGCAGGAGGATCGTTCAAGGTCAGGCGTTCAAGACCAGCCTGAACAAGAGCAAGACTCCGTCTCTACTAAAAAAATAGAAAGAAATTAACTGGACAACTAAAACTGTACAGAAAAGAAATTAGCCGGGCATGGTGGAGCATGCCTGTAGTCCTAGCTACTCGGGAGACTGAGGCAGGAGGATTGCCTGAGGCCAGGAGTTTGAGGTTGCTGTGAGCTAGGCTGACGTCAGAGCACTCTAGCCCAGGCAACAGAGTGAGACTGTGTCTCAAAAAAAAATCAAAAACAAAATAGAAAAAAGATCCCAACAATAGTGAAGAAGAGTTAATTGGTGAGTCACCATATTTAGTGAACTACAAACTATTGTCATTATTTATTATGTGTATGTCAGATATTAATCTCTATATCTAAGAATATCTTGGCTCTTTAGACACATTCAACATACTAGTTTCTACTTTTGCTGTATACTTGGTTTTAGCATCATTTGTTAAAACGAGGTAATAAGAACAGTAATAATAAGTGCCAACTCAGTGCTCTAATACTGTTAAGTATTTACAAACATTAACTCATTTAATCCTTCCAACAACATTATGACATAAATATCACTGTTATTCCCATTTTACAGTTGAGGGAAGTGAGGCATAGAAGTTAGGTAACTTGCCCAAAGTCACACAGCTGGTTTACTAGTAGCAAAGCCAAGATTTGATTCCCAACATTTGACTCCAGGATCTATGCTCTTAAACGTTATGCTGAGCTGCCTCTCATCTTACAGCAAATTTAACAGATATTAATGTAAACATCATGCTTTTTACTTATTTATTTTTGAGACAGGGCCTTGCTATATCTATAGCCCGTGCATGTGTGCAGTGGCGTCATCATAGTTCATTGCAACCTCAAACTCCTGGGGTCATGTGATCCCCCTGCCTCAGCCTCCCAAGTAGCTGGGACTACAGGTGTGTACCACCATGCCAGGCTAATTTTTCCATTTTTTGTAGAGACAGGGTCTCGATATGTTGCTCAAGATGATCTCGAACTCCTGGTTTTAAGAGATCCTCCCACCTTGGCCTCCCCAAATGCTAGGATTACAGGTGTGAGCCACCATGCCGAGCACATCATGCTTTTTAAAATGTACTATAACTGTAATGTATTAACAGTATTTATTATTGATAATGAATTTACTATGCATCAAAATCACTTATGAAGTTTGTTAACAACAGAAGTTCAGATCCTACCCTAGAGCTATTAAATCAGAATCTCTAGAGGAGGATCCAGGGGTTTCATTTTTATAAAAAGCACTAAAGGCAATTCTCATAAACTCACAAATTTGAGAACCACTTGTCCAAAGCCTTCAGGAGGAAATAAATTATACAGTTTTTGCAACATATGCCTGTTTTTATTTTGTTATATAGTTTTAAATTTGCTTGTGCCTTTCCTTGTCATCTAGATGATAGTCTTACAGTGGAAGACATGCTTTTTGTTTCTCTGAATGCTTCCACACTGCCTTGCTCTAGTAGATAGCAATGATAATAAAGTGACAGGGAGTAAAAAATTATTGGGACAGTAACCTACTAATTACTGTTTCCTAATATCTCCTTTTAAAAGCAGGATTTTTTTTTTTTTTTTTTGAGACAGAGTCTCGCTTTGTTGCCCAGGCTAGAGTGAGTGCCATGGCGTCAGCCTAGCTCACAGCAACCTCAAACTCCTGGACTCAAGCCATCCTCCTGCCTCAGCCTCCCGAGTAGCTGGGACTACAGGCATGCGCCACCATGCCCGGCTAATAATTTTTTCTATATATATTAGTTGGCCAATTAGTTTCTTTCTATTTTTAGTAGAGACGGGGTCTCGCTCTTGCTCAGGCTGGTTTCGAACTCCTGACCTCGAGCTATCCGCCCACCTCGGCCTCCCAAAGTGCTAGGATTACAGGAGTGAGCCACCGCGCCCGGCCTAAAAGCAGGATTTTTATTTCAAGGGGATACTCAAGAAATTAATTTGGACATGTATTTTCATTAGCTCACACATTTATTAAAGTATTATGTGCAAAGCTCCATGTAGTTAAAATGAAGCT